TTTTCTTTTATTCTATAAGTCATAATATATAAATTGAGTTTGTTTTCTTGGCACTTTATTCATTATGTAATTAGCTATCAAAGCTATTTCTCCCCAAAAATTCTTTGGTGCATTTACATTGATCATTATTGCATTTGTTAAATTTATTAAAGTTCTATTTTTACGCTCTGCTACACTATTAGATGCAGATGAATAAGGCAGAGTAGTTTGATGAACAATTTCTAAAGATTTAATACAATCAATTAGTCCCAAAGATTCATATTCATTTCTTTTCCTCTATCACTTCTAAACTTTTTAATTTTCTTGTCAAAATGATTTTCAATTTCTTGTACATATGCTACAAGTTTTTCATGTGCTTCACTCTTATGTTTCATAAGATATACATAAGTGTATCTAGAAAGATCGTCTATAAAAGTTATAAAATATCTTTTACTACCACGTGTAAGAATGTCTTCAAATTCACAAATATCAACATGTATTAATTCAAGTAAATCACTACTCCTTTCTACTTTTACATGTGGTTATTTTGTGATTTTTGTCAAGCTATAATACTCACATTTTTCAAATATCATTTTGAAGTTTAGGCAACAATCCAATCTAACTCATATTCTTTATGTATTTAGAATTAACATGACAAAATCGCACATGCCATAAATTAGTACTAGAAGCAATATAAACAGAACTAGGAGATACTTTATTCATTTCAATATTTAATTTGAACATACCATCATATGCATAACCTTTTCCAACAAATACATTATTTTTTGTAATCACATATTAATCAGAATCTATAGTTTGCTTGAAACTAGCTTTATTGAGAAGATAACTTGAAACCAAATTCTTTCTGATTTGGGGAGTATGAAGAACATCTTTCAAAGTTAAAGTATAGCCAAAGGTGAATTTTAGATTCACATCACTAACACCTACAACCTTAATGGTATGTGAGTCACTAATCTTCAACAGGAGTGTAGTTTTTGAACCAATCTTTATTATGGCAAATGTACCTAGGAACACTCGAATATGCCCACCACCCTTCATGATTCTCTAGCATGTTCACCTCAGTTACCATAGTCACTAGAGGCTCTTCAGCTGTATGAGTTTGAGGTTTATCACCATACTTTTTGGGTTGTCCACGTTTTCTAAAATAACAATCTTTGGCTTGGTGGACAAGCTTTCCACAAACAAAACATGGACCCCTCAAAGCTTTATAATTACTATTAGAGGGGGTTTCCTGGTGCTTTTTGGGTCCTTTATTTTGATATGGTGCTTTATTCTTATTTTTTCATATTTTTTTCTTCTAGATCTCAAGTTTGCATTATTTTTAGAATTCTGACCTCTAGAGACATTATCAGTAGAAGCAATAAAGTGTACCTTATTAGTTTGACCATTACCATTGGTCTCCTCGGATTTATCCAGCATCCTTGCCTCCTCCTCAATTCTAAGTCGAGCCATGACGTTGACGTTGACTAGTGTGATCTTCGACTACTTGAGGCGTAGTCCCTTTTAAATATCTTTTCAAGAATTTGGTAATTTGCCAATTATAACAGTCACTTGCATTTGTTGATCCACTTTGATGCCTTTAGATTGAATTACATGAACTATGTTGTAGTTCATGTACTTGAGGGAGGACAGATTTGTTTTCTGCCATTTGATACTTGCAATAGTGGCTACAAGCATACTTCTTGGCTCCAACTTCTTCAGTGTCATATTTCTTTTGCAAAGCTTTCCAAATCATTTTACCTGTGGAATAAGAAGTGGAGTAGTAGTCATAAAACTCATCAGATAAGCAATTAAGAAGATAGTTTTTACAATCTGCTTCATCACTTCTCCATTTTTGAATGCTTTGTTTGTACTCTTGCTCATCCATGTCATCAACACGGGTTTTGGTTGGATTCTTGGCTGTAAGTACCCAAGCTATGTTTAAGAGTTTTAGGTAGAAAAGTACATTTTTAGCCCATCTTTGAAGTGTTCGCCATTGAACTTGAAAGGCTTGTTGAGGTTTGTAGAGCTTTTGACAGGTGTAGGGACAATAGAATTAGTTTTGCCCTCCATTTGAATAACGTCTTAAAATTGTTGGAGGAGAGTACATGAACAATTTCTGATCTTCAAGTTAACCACCTTAAATTTGACAACTATTAAGAAGTCCGATAGGGTTGAGGTGTGTAAACCACTCTCTTTAAGATGATACGTACCCCTACAGTATTTTTTTTAATCGATGCAGAAGATCTAGCGCACCGCTTCCAAGATACAATAACCTAACTCTATGATTGGTTACTTCCCTTTAATCTACACAACCAAGAGAAGCAGAAACTTCCCAATATCTTACTTTGTCCAAAGAAAATTAGAATGGGGGAGAAAGAAATGAGTGTAGAGAAAATAGTATTTAGAATAATCTTTTGTTAAGAGAAATATCTAAGAAATTTTCCAAAGAATTTCACTATTTATAGGCTACAAAAACCTTTAGAAAATAGGTTGAATATCCACGCTCAATGTATAATGGTTTGTTTGTCATATTAAATTGTAGTTAATTTGTAGAATTTGTAACCTAAAAATTGATTCATATTTGAATGGCTTATAATGACTCAATAATTCTTCATTTGACCAAATAATTCATTTATAGCTCCTATTCAAATAATTGTATAATAACTTCATTCATCCTAACATTAAAATTCCCATAACTCCCAAATAAATTATATTATAACTCATTGTAAAGATTTGGTCAAGGAAAATTTAAAATTTTATTAAAATACACTAACAATTTACTAATTCAAGAAGCTGTAATTAAGAAATAGAGAAGACAACTCGGATAATTAGGGACTATTATTGATGATGAATAATTAGGGACTATTATTGATGGAAGAGTACAGATGAAGATGACGATCAGTCAAGGAAGAGAAATTGGAAATCCAAGAATTGCCTTCAACCAACCTCCCTTCTCTCTTTTATTTGGCGACTACTGATCCAAGTTACAACTAACGAGATGGCATACACGAATTTATTCACTAAGTCCCTATCATACTTGCTTTATTACAAAAGAACCCTTGTCAATAAAAGTAACACAACAGTGAAATTGAAAGAAGAAAAGGAAAAGTAAATTGATTACAAAATTTCACACGACTAGAATTAGAAAATTATCAGAAAAAGAAATGGTTTGAACTTACTTGAAACTTCATGTGGACAAAACTGAAATTCTTGAATCGTGATGGAAGCACTAAATGGGGATCAGAATCAACAAATCAAAGATTTGAAGGGGAATACAAAAAAAAAAGAATAAGGGAGAATATGCGTGTTTGAGTGAGAAATGAATTTGAGATAAAAATCTTCATTTACGAATGCAGGGCTATATATAGGCATGGATACGGGGCAGGAGCGGTCGTCAGACGACTGTTCCTGAACGGTCTCCTCACAATAAAAAATGTGAGGAGACGAATGAGCCAAGTCAGCAAGGCTGAAGCAGGGCACAAAAACGACGCCGTTCCAAATAAAAAAATGTTGACTTCCAAACGGGAGCAGACGGAGCAAATGGAAGAGAAGTAGATTTTGAAATTCAAGTTGAAATTTTGAATTAGCCGCAGAAAACAAAAATGAGAGAAGAGTCTTGGCGTGCTTCTGAAAGAGCTCTACTCTGACCGACCGCTTATTGAAGGTAGAAAGCTGAAGTTAGGGTGGGATTCGACCTACTGGCTCTTTCTAGGTGAAGTGGGTGTAGTCTACTCTGATGAAAGTAGCAATTGACAGAAAAGTGGGTGGAGAGGCAGGTGGCAAGGTAGAAGCAAACAGAAACGAAGCCAAAGTTTGGACGGAAAACTGAATAGCTGAAGCAGCTGTGGTCTTCAACTGGGTATAAGAGTGTTGTGTCTATTTTGAATGCGCGCAAGGCAGGCGATAAGGTAGAAGCAAACAGAGGAAGGACAAAATCTCATGAAGCCAGATTTTGTCCTTCAACTTAATAGCAGAAGCAGCTAAGCTCTCCGACTTCGGTGAAACGTGAAGCATATTAGCAGACCAAGGTAACATAACTGAACCATGTCAGTAACTGTGGCCAATAATTTGTCACCCAAATATACATCTGTTAAATGAAGGATGAAATTAGAGTCACTGAAGACATAATATGAAGATGATAGAAGAATAGTGAAGTTATACTGTATTTGCATGTGTGTACCGTATCTGTGTGTGTGTGAGCATTCAACTTTTCAGTGATAGACTATAATGGGATAGTAATTTTTGGAAAACCTAGGGGCATGTATTCAAGTAAACCGTCGAACGGAATTAGGGAAAGATGAGAGAAACAAAGTCACATTTAACAAGTGAATGAATGTACATCCTATTATAAATTAGTTACATGTTATAGCTACTGTATTACAATTGATATGAATCATTGTACATCTAGTAATTGGTCCATGCTCATGGAGCAATATTAGTTTGCTCCTCTCCTGACCATGCAGTATGTATAAAATGGAAGCGTAGAGTTGAATGGGGTGAAGCAGAGGAAAAGACATATATGTGAATAATAAATGGGTGAATCTTGTGTTGTAAGTAAATTACATGATGTAAAAAATATATTACAATGAGTAGAAAGTACTTGTTTGGCCCTCAAAATGTAGAAATAGTAGAAAATGCGGAATTGGCTTATGCGGTTGTCATTAACGAATGACATAAGGTCCAGTGAGTTAAAAAATCTAGAATCAAAATATAATCACTAGCGTGGATGTACATACAATTAAAATAGATGTACATTGTGTAACCAATACATTACAATCCGTATAAGTTAGTGTACATGGAGTTGTATTTGTACATAGATTGCCTTAGAGTAAAAGTAAGGTGATGTGAATCATTAATCATATTGATAAGCGTAATAATAGAATTTGGTATACGAGTAATGTATGATTCATAACACATTATAAAGGGTAATATACATTTATGTTGTCATTTATGTACATACTATTCATGAAGTGTTGCAAATTAGGGTGTTTGATGCATAATTGACAGGAGTAGAAGTAATGGATTGCACCAAATTGGCAGAGGATGGGATCCCTGAGTTAAGAATGGAGTTCAACAATGAAGAGGATACGTACAAGTTTTACAACAAGTATGTTTTTAGAATGGGTTTTAGTGTACGTAAAGACTATCTGAATAAAGACAAAGACGGCGTGGTCACATCTAGGAGATATAGTTGTTGCAAGGAAGGTGTGAAGTGCAAGTACGAAGGTGATGTGATGCCAAAGAGGATATGAGCGTCGACGAAAATAGGGTGTGGAGCTAAAATGGTTATCGTGTTGTTTAGAAGAACAATGAAGTACCGTGTGCATGACCTTGTCTTAGAGCATAACCATGAGTTGCACATTACTCAACGTGCGCACATGATGCCATCACAAAGAAAAGTGAGTGAGACTCAAGAATTCCAAACTAAAATAAGCGAAGACGCTGGACTTTCATTGAAACAGAGTCATGAGCTTATGGGAAAGGAGGCAGGTGGGATGGAAAATGTGGGATATACTCGGGAAGATCTGAAACGATATCTTCGTACTCGACGGGAAAGGAGTTTGAAATATGGAGAAGCAGGTAGCATGCTGAATTATTTTTAAAAGCAAACACTCGAGAATCCATCGTTTTTTCGTGCTGTATAGCTGGACTGTGAAGAGCAGAAACGAATATCTTTTGGGCTGATGCAGGATTGTTAATTGACTACAATTTTTTTGGAGACATAGTCACATTCGACACAACCTACAAAACAAATAAAGAATACTGACCACTTGAAGTGTTTGTGGGTTTTAACCAATATAGGTAAATTGTGATATTTGGTGCTGCTCTTATGTATGATGAGATTATAGATTCTTTCAAATGGGTGTTTGGTACATTTCTTAAAATAATGTGCGGAAAGCATCCAAGTACCATACTAACGGACCAAGATCACGCCATGGCAACCGCTTTTTCAATTGTTATGTTTAAAACATTTCACGGTCTATGTACATTTCACATAAGGTGTAATTTTATGAAACATCTTGGTAATCACTATAAGGAAAATAGTGATCTTTCATACATGTTTGGTGCATGCATGTATGAGTTTGAAGAAATGGAACAATTCAATAGGGTGTGGGAGGCGATGATGAAGAAACACAATCTTGAAAATAATGAATGATTTTTCGGGTTGTATATAATTCGTGATAAATAGGCAAGGTGCATGATGAAAGAAAGATGGACCGGAGGAATGCGAAGCACCCAACTTAGCGAAAGACTAAATGCAGCAATTAAAAATCATTTGAAACTGGATCATGACCTTGTGCAGTTCTTTAGACATTTCAATCGGGTGGTTGATGAAAAGAGACACAATGAACTGATTGCAGAATATGAAATGAGACAAAAGCTCCCCATAATAGGGTTAAGACAAACACCAATACTTGTGCATGCATCAGAGACGTATTCACCGACCGTATTTGTTGTATTCCAAAATGAATATGGCGAGTCAACAGCTATGGTTTTATTGAGACAACAAGATGCAGCGATGATTGTGGAGTTTGCGGTCATGAGGTATGATGGAGGATCTGAAAGAATAGTGGTATTCAATCGAAATAATCTAAATGTACGTTATAGTTGCAAAAAATACAAGAATGAATGCATTTTATGTGGGCACACGTTGATGGTGTTTGATACCGTGGGCATAAAAATAATTCCTCCTGAATACGTTAAGAGGCAATGGACAAAAAGAGCTCGGTCTGGAGACTGTTTTGATCGGCGAGGATGGGAAGTTGTGGCTGATCCTAAAATAATGATTTCAACTCGTTATCGGGAGCTCGCTTCAGCCATGATTAAGGTCGCAACTCGAACAGCAATATCGGAGAATACCAACAAAGTAGCAATCACTATCATATCCGATTTAGCAAAGAGAGTTGAGTTCCTCCTCTCAGAAAGCGAAGAGCAACCTTTGCAAAATCAAAAAAATCTGAATATGGAGCAACGGGATAAAATTGAAATTGTAAATGAAATGGGGGAGGCAGTAGTCGCAAGAGGCATTAAAAAACAAGGCGGTGGGAAGAAAAGTAGAGTGATGCGAAGTTGTGTCGATAAATTTGACAGAGTAAAAAGAAAATTTAGATTATCAAGAACTACACAGACTACGGTATGGATCAAATTTTGGTACTTGGAGAACATTTATGCTAAAACTAAGTTATTGTTATACTATTAACTAAAGTTTAGGTACCATTCATTATGAAATAATATTATTGCCGTGTCAATACTGTAGGTCTCAGAATCGGAGCCAACATCGATTTTATTTGTGAAATACATGTTTATGGGATGCCGTTCATCTACTGACTCTGTTTCGGTTAGTATAAAATAGACATGACTCTTGTTTTTATTTGGATGTTTCTAACAGTATAAATAGTTACATTGATGTTATATTGTGTGATAATGTTGTTACGGCCGTCATCCCTCCTGATATACCTATTTTATTTGTCTTATACAATGATTTGGCCCATACAAAACTCGTAGACGCATTCAATGAGTCAGACAGTGAATGACCCTCCAAATGCTGTTGCTCCCGATATCGATGAAAGTGAAACGGTATGCATACATTTAGTAGTTAAAATAAAGATCTTCTTGTTCGTGTAGTAGAGCTACCTTTTTTTCTTTAATTGTAATGGTGGGCACCCGAACACTGTCAAATCATGCAAATTATGTAGTTAACGTATGCTCGCTTTAATAACATATTATTTTTTATTATTCGAAGGTCCACCGTTTGACTAATCAGGGGCCTCCTGCAAGTGTCCCTACAGAATGGATGCATCCCAGCTTTTCTATTTTTTCCAAGCATAACTCCATCAGAGATGTCTTAATGGTCTGATATATCATTTTTATTATAATGTCTAGTCCAATTTAACTTTATAAGTGAGCAATATAGGCACTGGCAATGATTTGTTGACAGTCAATTACTTATACTATGTAATGTAGGAGGAGCGTGCAACAATTTCAAAATACTGTGATGTTGATACATATCATGTATTTGCACCTTCACCCCAGATGATAAACTTTTATCGTTACAGCACATATTTATGTAATGTTGTTAATTAGAGACTTGGACATCGTATATTATTAATCGTATGTTTCATTAATAATATTTGCTGATTTGTCATCGTTACACATTTCAGGGAAGAAATAACACCCAGAAATTGCAACTACGCGTTAACGTCGCCTCCCCCGAGAATGAGGTTGATGAATGATGTGTAACTATACTTTTTGAAAGAGACATTAAGTGGTTGTCCCAACCTGAGAATGCTGCATATGTGCATTACAAGCAGTTAATAAGTTGTTACAACTTATTGACGAGATTGTATAGGCATCATTAATGTTTCACTCTTTTCAAATTTAGACAAGTGGATTATAATTATAATCGCATCTAGTGGTAGTAGTCATCAATAGTTTGTATTGGGTTGTATAAAATTGTTAAAAAATTATAAAGTTGGTAGAAAATTGAAGTAACAATTTTACAATAGAATTGAACATGTTTTTTGCAATCGGATATTTTTCACTAAATCGACCATAACAGTTGAATGGCTGTCGTGATATATATACCATTCTACTACATTTAATTACATACCTTAATAACATATTTATTGGCATAGATAGTACCGCCAAAGGTACGATGTATAAGATAACACAATTTAAAGTATAAATTGTCTTGATTTTGTTACGATGCTAAATTCGAATTATTATTGGGTTATTTTTATAAAAACATTATCATTTAGGCCATTTATTTTGCATTGCTTGACGAATTTAGCGCACCATTGACATGATGTATCATAGGCACATCAATTGATATTTCAAGTTTTTAGGTTAATTGAATTATAGTCAAGTCAGGTCACGACCACATGTTGGTAATAGGTGGTGCGCATAAGAAAATGATTCCTTAGAGAACTAATTTGTAACGTTAAAACGAAGTTTTACAATGCAACAAAAAGAAAGAACGAACAGTACACAATGGGTTACAACCAGTAAGGGATATGTTACTGTTGCGTTACAACTAGTTACGATTGTTTAACAGGCATGACTAATATCCAAATATGGTAAGCAATTTGTTTGAATAGAGATTATAATGAGTATAGTTTTATCGCTACCCTGATGAACATTGGACTACATCTCTTGTTATCAGTTGTATCCCATACAACACCTAAGAACGCCGTCATGCATTAGACAATGGGGTATGTACCTTTGAAAGTTATCATCGCTTGATTCAGTAAAGTCAGATAGGTCCGGGTCCGATATAAGCATGGCTATGCTAAAATATGCTGAACATCAAAATGTTTTCCAATACCATGTCTTTTTGCGGCCTGGATCTCGTGGAACCTGTGAAGCCTACGCTCCATTTACATAACTTCTCGCTGTAGTCTATGTAATACGCTTGCATCATTGGCTTGTGGTCCTATAACAAGATCCGCTAACCTTGTTCTCGGGATGCGGAGGCCATGCCAGCGACAAAATACCTCCAATTCCATTCTTCGTTGACGAACAGGCTCCCATATGTGTTCATGGTCCATAACGAAATAGCCAGACGGTAGATGATCGTTGACGGTATTTTTAAGAATGTGACCAGCTAGTCCCAGAGAGTTATTGGTGTTAAGTGGAGCGTTTCTAAACTCGCATTTGGTATCATATAAAATCCTCCCGTCTGGTGTTTCGTACCTGCTTATGGAATTTGTTGGATCCAACGATACTTTTCATCTTTTTTGCCGAACATTTGATGGTGAGCTTGTATGAGATCCTTCATTTGTGAATTGCATAACTATGCTAATACCTACTACTTTTTGGTTGGATGAAAGGAAAGATCTACTGATAAAGAATTAGGTGGGAGAAAAAAAGAGGCATCAATTTTTTAACGGAGCACCTGTTTCAGACCATGCATAGTAAATGATTTCTTCTGGCAACTTGACCAACTGCTTGCTGTATCATTTCATACTGTTCTCCACGGGATAGTACTCCTGGGTGAGTAGTTGAAAGCATGGCAACCACCTATTAATGAGAGAATAGACTCAATGTTTAGTCGAATGTATAGTGTGTGGATGAAATAATGGTTCAATTCGATTGGGTCATGACCTGTACTCCAACAACAATTGGGTCAAGTGAATACCCAGTTATACGTCAGTCACCTTACTTTTCAAGTGTAACAAGAAGTTACAACCAGCATATGTACGTTACAAGAAGTTAATAAGTTGTTACCGCTAATTGATGTGCTTGTACAGGCACCTTGTCATTTGCCTGTATGTTAAAACTTAGACAATTTGTTTACAATTGTACTAACGATGAGTATTACAGATAGTATTACAGGCACTTCAATAGGTATTACTCATTCAGTATATAAATGAACTTACAATTGGCGGCTCGGTTTGGTTCCACATGACCACATAATAAGTAACAGTTTCGCAGAAGAACATGATACTTCGTTGGGACAAGTAATTTGAAAATAGGGTAACTAATATTTAAAATGCAACAAATTTTGATTACGCCATGTACATGTTGAGTTACAACCAGTTATATATATGTTACAATTCATTACAACTAATGAATTTGCAATCGACAGTTTTTCATCTTATCTAGTTAAAACTAATGATATTACAATTAGAAATTCCCTGATATTACAACTAGTGATACTACAACTAGTTGATATCTGATGAACCTTTCCTCTTCTCTTGTTTGTGCAATTGCGCTTGGCACAAACAATAAGTCCTCCCCCAACACATAAAATTTCTTAGACACTTTAGTAAGTGTCTAATGAGAACATAAAGATGGTCGATTCGAACCCCAAAATAATTGATGTAGTGAGGCCTTCTCGAACATCTCATTAAATTAACAAGATCTTCTCGAACATCATGCAACCTATTGGCTACTATTTGGCACCCAAGAACTTGATTTCTGTGTGAGGAGAATTGAAGAATACTAATAATAAATTTCAGGCACGGGTTCATTGCCAGAACGGTGCTCTTCTTTGTTGCACGTCTAGACTTGTGCTTTATCTCAACGTCAGGGCCTCCTAAAAAGCAAAGAACATGCATTTCATGAGCAATTTATTTGTTGTTGTGTAACAAATTGTAAAGCATTTTGTAACAGTCTTCAAACACAGTATAACTAACAGTCTAAAAACACCAATCAATTAATTTTTAAACACACTGTAACTGTCCCAATAACTATTTTATTTTCAAACACACCGTCACTTGTCACAATAACTATTTTGTAACAAGCTACAAACACACTGTAACATGCAATCATCAAACATGGAGTTTTGTATTAATTTTCACACTCTAACTTCCCAATGAAGCATTTTGTAACAGTCTTCAATAACATTCAACTTCCCAATAACTATTTTGTAGCAACCTATAAACACTTCGTAACTAACAGTCTTCGAATATGGAGTTTTGTAGTAATTTTCAAACTATACTCTCCCAATAACTGTTTTATAACAATTTTTGAACATACTGTAACTTTTCAATAACTATTTTGTAAGAACTTACAAACACTTCGTAACCAACAGACTTCAAATATGGAGTTTTGTATTAATTTTCAAACTGCAACTTCCCAACTAACTATTTTATAACAGTCTACGAACACACTATAACTTCCCAAAAACTATTTTGTAACAACTTACAAACACTTCGTAACTAACAGTTTTCAAATATGAAGTTTTGTATTAATTTTCAAACTGTAACTTCCTGAATAACTATTTTGTAATAGTCTTTGAACACACTGTAACTTTTCAATAATTATTTTGTAACAACCTACAAACACTTTGTAACTAACAGCTTTCATGTATGGAGTTTTGTATTAATTTTCAAACTGTAACATTCCAATAACTAATTTTGCAACAAACTACAAATTCACTGTAAAATGTCTTCAAATACGGAGTTTTGTATTAATTTTTAATTTGTAACTTCCCAAATAATTTTTTTGTAACAATCTTTAAACACACTGTAACTTCCCAATAACTATTTTATAACAATCTTCAAACACGATGTAACTAACAGTTTTTCAAACACACTATAGCTTCCCAATTGGCTTAATATGACATTAGGCTTATCTGGATGTGGTTGGAATAAAGTCATACTTAATTATTATACTCAATTCAGTTTGTCAGGTCCGCTTTATATGCAGCTGACATTGGTGTGTTATGACAATATGCCTACAAGTTTTCGATGATGA